ACATATGTGTATTTGGGTATAAATGTAGTTGTGTGTGTGTGTGTGTGTGTGTGTGTGTGTGTGTGTGTGTGTGTGTGTGTGTGTGTGTGTGTGTGTGTGTGTGTGTGTGTGTATGTGTGTATATGTGTGTATATGTGTATATGTGTATATGTATGTATGTATGTATGTATGTATGTATGTATGGATGTATGTCTGCATAAATGTGTACACACACACACACACACACACACACACACACACACACACACACACACACACACACACACACACACACACACACACACACACACACACACATATGATGGTGTTATATGTACGCATGTATATATTTACATGTTCACTTTATACTTGTATTCTATGGCTAATAGAAGTAAAATTCAAATTAATTTATAGAAGCAAAGAGTTGCAAAACTGGAATGTCATTAAAGTCTTCTTTATCATCTTAAATCAATAACTGTAATTAGACTATTTTAGTGGTTGATCTGAAGAGGGCAAGGGGAGGGACTGCCTTCATAACTGTAGGGTCCCCCCCTCCCTCTACCAGTTGCTTACCTATCAATTTTTGTTCCTAAAATTTTGATTATTAAATATATTAATATATTATTCAAAAACTGCTCAGATCAATAAAACAGACATCTGATCAGGGATGGGCAGCCTTTTCAGAGCTGATACAGGATGAGGATTTTTGGGAGCAGCCTGTGGGTTAGGAGTGCTTATATACAAGCAGTTCACAATTAATATATATTAATCTTAGTACAATAAAACAAAATAAATACTAAACAGAAACTTACATACTGACTGACAGAAGAGTAATATTACAGGAATAACTGCTACCACATCAAATTTGGGGGAGGGAGAGTACCAAGGCTAGGGTTTCACAGGCCAGATTGCAATGCTAATGCTAAACAGGGTGGTAGGCCAGATGCTAGGTTTCTGCAGGGCACATCCCTGCTATAGATCAAAAGAATTATGCCACAAAGTAATTCTTACATAAATTTCCCCCAAGCCCACCTCTCAGAGGACCTTACCAGCACTTTTGCTCTCCATGTAAATTTTTTATTTTTTTAGATCCACCAGTGCATTGTTTATTATGTGCTGAATTAGGTCCATATAAATCTGGACTCCAAATGATTAGAAGCGTACATTGTAGAAGGAATAAAATCAGAAAGAGAAAATCTATTTCAAAAATGAGAAATTACTTACCTAATTATTATTAACAAAAATCTTAAGGTGTTCAGGGTTAAGTAAGAGTGCAAAAGAGAATGAACAGATAAAGAAACAAGCAACAATATTTATTACAACAAAAGTAACAAAAATTAATAGCAAAAACACTAAAGCACATTAACATAACACAAAGGGAACAAAAACAATTCATGTATCTAGAATGTTCTTACTAAGCACAAACAAATCTGTACAAGAAGATAAACATTATCCAAACTCACTACCCAAGGTTCAAAATAAAATCATAATCAAATTACTCAACATAATATACTACAAAATCATTTTCTAAATCTTCTGGAAAAGAAACTACACAGCAAACATTTTTGAACTGCCCATCCAACAGGGAACAGGCAGTGCTATCATTATTAAGTGAAAAGTGAAATTACCTATGGGTCTGTGTGGTATTTTTTTTAGTTCTCAGTATACTTTGATGATAAAACATTGATTGGTATTTCACTCATACTTTTCACATAAGTTTTTGTAGAGAAAAATGCTATCTTGCGAGTATTGAAACTGAGGTTGATGTAATAGCATATAACTTACCCTGGATGGTAAAGGATGAACATTAATACAATATTTAAAAGTTGCAAGAACTGCATGGTTAATGTTCATGCAAAGATTCAGTGCATACATTATCACAAATTCTGAATGTTAATTAAAGGACTGAAATATGAACCTCTCTTATATTACCAATATTGCCATATGAAGTTTTGCAAACAGTTGATACTTCAAAGGAGAGAATTTTCAAAAGACAAAAGATTATCTTAATATGATAAAGATTATATAATATGAATTACACAACGTAATTATTAGCAATCATAAACAGATTGAAGGAACTTTACTGCAACAATACTGTATCTTGATTAAAAATATATGGGAAAAAATCTGTGTGGCAGACTATACCAGCTTTTCATCATACTGATTCCTGAATGATTAATTCATCCCTATCTTCCCATAGAAAAAATAATCACAAATCATAAGAACAGAACATAATATATATACTTTCTGCATTCCATAATCTAGTATCCAATAATGAATATAACCAGCAACCGTCATCACTGGACTCTTTCATTCTGACTGAAATAAAAGAGGAAATGATAATGCAATAGAAAAAGAAAATGAAATAGAGGCAAAACAGGGAACACAACACCAACACATCACAAGCTAATAATGCTAAAGACCATTGTCTGCACATAGTAGAAAATAGCATTGCTCATGACCGACAGATCTATGAATCTCCGTAAGAAACACGTGCTGACATCACCATCGTAAGTGTCAGAATCAGCAGGTGTCGTTGGCAGGGACGTGGATCTGCCGATAGTCCTTAGGGAAATTCTATTGACAGTTGGGGGTTCACGGATGATGGAGGAGCTCTCCTCGACCACCTCCTTCTCACAGCGGCCTGCATATCGGAACCGAGACCCTCGGGAGAAGAATGACCCTCCAGTCACCACCACACCCTGCTTGTTAGAGTTTTCAAGCCTAGGGGAAGAAAGGAAAGGAGGAGTGAGTGGTTTGTTTTTCACCTTATGTCGATTTTCGTTTATCTCTTTGTGAAGCTTGATCACTATGGGTGATGATTAATTGAAGATTTGCAGAATACAATAAAAATGCAAATAAGAAATTATGCAAAAAATAAAGATACAAACACGGTGATATGCTCAGATAAAGTGAAACACTAAAATATATTTCAATTTACAAGTTCAAAAATATATGAAGACTTACTACAGACCATACATGGTATTTAGAATAGCATAATTTCTATGGAGATTGTTTCAAAAGCCTTCTTTTATAACCTTCTTATAGGAAAAGAGAGTACTATTCATACAATTCCAATTTATCCTTTGCAATGAAATTCATACACCATACATATATACCAAACAATTTCACAAAGCACATAAAGAATGTTTAAAAGATAATCATGGTAAGTCAAGGTGTCTGCTGAACAGATATATGAAACACCCCTAGTCATTTTAAGTGAAAATTTTCCTTTGAGTGTTGTTATTCACAAACTCTGAATTCAAAACAGAGTAAAAACTAAAAGGGTAAAGATAATTCTCAGTTCATGGTAGATAATATAAGTTAAAATTAATAATTAATAAGTAATAAGTAATCATTTTCACAAATGCTACCTTTTCCTTAATGGAATGAACCATACTTGAAGTTTGATCTTTAAAAATGGCAAGAGTGCAAAACTGTTAACAAATCATGTTGAAATAGATTAATATGTCTTTCTTGAGAAAGCATGTACTCTAAACAGTTATATCAAAATAAAAGAATATCTTTTAAAACTAATGAAGAGCTGATAATAACTTTCATTATGATGAATTTAATTGTGTAAATAAAACTCACAGACTCAGTAAGAGTAATAATATAATAAAAATATAAATATTTAGCATCATATTTACTTGAAGACTTTGGTTTCCAAAGAGGCCTGAAATAAATCTTTCTCTTTTGTAGCATGAATTGTGAATGTTTTTTTTTGTTCAACTTTTAAAATCTTTGAATGAGAATGAATGTGCCCAAGGAGAAAAAAATGTTGAGGTAACAAGGTAAGAATGAACAGGGATTAGCATTATTAATTTCTACATTTACTTCTCTTTAGCAATATCAATAAACATAGATCTTTTATATATATTTCGGTATTCACTTCTTAACTGACCAAAAAATACCAGAACATTTTCAGGTTGGCCATTTTGGTTGGCTGTGTTCTAGAAACCTCAAACTTTTTTTCACTTGACCCAACTCAATGAGATTTACATTACAATCTCATCACAATTAATTCTGAAAGGTTACACACATGTAATATCTAAATGTAATTACATATCATGTACTATGGAGTTGTTCATTCCCATTAATACTTTCAGTTCTGAAAGGAAAGCAAAAGAGCATAATTATGCTTTTTTCTATCCAGGCGAAGATGCCTTTGAGAAGTTGGTGTTGCAGCATGTCTGAATGACACCCTTGTATTTCACACAACACTTATCGTTAAACATCACCAACCTATGAAGTGCATCTTTGCCTTAGAAAAAAAAATGTACTCAGAGGGAGGAATTAGCATAGATTATGTAAAGAGAAAAGGGAAGGGAAACTTCTAAAATTGGTGACCTCAGGAAATCAACATTAAAAATAGGTTCAAAATGTTGAACACTCACAAAAGGGTAGTCTAGCTTGCAGAATAAAAACTATGACAACAAGAAAAAATTCTACTGACTGATCCGACTCTAAGAAGTCTTTCCTATTGACAGAATTTACACCTCATGGATATCTTCTAACAACATGCCTTTGAACTTAGCTGAACAGAACATTAATCAGTTATTAGAAACAAACTTGCTATGTCCAGGGATTTCTTAAACAGTCTATGTATTTGGTAATAATACAGAACAGATACATCTTGGAGTGTCTGGTTTGGTCAAATGGCAACTTTTTAAATGTTCTAAGTTTCATATATTTACAAAAAATGCCCTTTAAACTTTTGCTCAAGGTAATCATTTACAATAGTTAAGCCATATCTACATGTCACATTACAGGAAATTCAGGAGTAATTCTTTTGTGAATGATTATATACCAATAATATCAACTGTAATGAATTATTGGTACTCGTGAACTTTTTCCCTACGAACCACGAATCTTCCAGCCTCTTTGATCCCCAGCCATAAGAAAGGCCTGAGTTTTCAAGTTTCACTGAGGCAAATTTGGGTTTCTAGCATTTCAAAGAGCTTGATTCTAAGCATCAGAAATGTGAACTGTCATATATTGTCATCTATTAAATGCATGGAATGTTAACAAAGTACAAAGTTACTGCAATTACCCTTGTTTATGATTGAAAGTCAGGTTTAGTTACCGTACTCATGGAAATGTTTGCAAAGCAAACCAAATATACTTTTATCACAAAACAATAAAATATGTATCTTGATGTATATATTAAAGTATAAATAGTAAGAATATGTATTTCAATGTATATATTAATGTATAAATAGAAAGAAGATAATGGTGTCCCAGGAGGTATGTTGTGTGGAGGGGAAGTGTAGGAGAGGAGGAAATGGGGTGGTTTGGCTAGATGAAATATACTCTAGAGCACCAGAATTATTACTTTACATTTGCTCCATTCCATTCACAAGATGAAAGAGGCAGGAAGAGGACTGTACGACTAGCTCAGGGTGGGGAAGGGAGTAGGGGTATGGGGTTGATGATATATTGGGTGTGGCTGGAGGGAACTTTCCAAACAGTACCAGATATGTTAGTAGATGCTACATACATCTAACTTATAATGAAAAAGATATGTGGCTAGTAGGACTGACCGCATAGGATGTGACAATGCCATGAGCAAGGCAAAGAGGACTTTAAGAATATAGAGAGTCACAGTATAATTAAATTGCCTAGTTTAAGATGACCATTCTAGGTGCCTTACAAATTACTATGAAAAATATTGCCGGTTAATTTTTTAAAATTCCTTACTCCACACAACATGAAGTAAAGTCATAGTAGAATTTGCAACTTTTTATATTCAAGATTAAGTCAATTTATTAACTTGCTAACCAAATAGCATATATGTATATATTGTGATTTACCATAAGGTTTAAAATCCTTACATGCATGCCATCAACCAGGGAGACTGTATCAAACTGCAAGATCTTCGGAAAAAAAAACTCTTAAATTTAATACATACTTCATTATATTCAGATTATTTTCAAAACTACCAAAATAATATAAATCACATAAATCATCAAAAATTTAAGGCAGGGATTTCTGGGACTAAACTAGTGATTCAAATAAGAATGAAATTCTATGATCACTCATCACCTAACCAAATATGGTCAATGCTATGTTGTGGAATAGATCAAATGATATCAGATAATGTTGGTTCTATCTGATAGTAAATGCAATAAAAAAAATAAAAAATCACTCAACTCTTAGCATACGAAGCTATTATGCTAGCCAAAACAGGTAAATTATACAGATGAATCTACCATATGGTGTGGTACATGACACTACCCTTAGGGCTACAAACACACATTATGTTAATGACTAAAGTTTCTAAATCTAGCAAGGACAAAGGCAAAATAAGTAAACATTCTCTCTCTCACACACAAACAAATACATGTATTAGTGATTGATATTGACTGGTACTTTTGTATTGGTATTGGTATTGTCTAAGCTACTCAATAACTACCATTCTGTCATGGCAAGTTTGTTTTGGAATAATGAGGAAGTTATCTATTGTAGGTCTATCCATAGTAACATATTGGAAAGAAAGTCTAGAACTGTAGATATTGAGTAGAATTACCAGGTATTAGTTGAAAAATTATGAAATATGCTTATTTCAGTCTAACCCCAAATATGTTGTTTAGAATTTTATCTAAATTTTTGGCAAGCTATGTATCTAATATAGACTATCTATCACATATTGAAAAAAACAAAGATAATTGATAATTTGTTACACACACACACACACACACACACACACACACACACACACACACAAACACACACGCACACGCATGCACACACACGCACACGCACGCACACACACACACACACACACACACACACACACACACACACACACACACACACACATACACATACACACACACACACACACACACACACACACACACACACACACACACACACACACTCACACAAACTCACACACACTCACACACGCACACACAGACTCACACATACACACACACACATACACACACACACACACACACACACACACACACACACACACACACACACACAAAATGTCATAACAACATTATCATTAAAAGAAAAAAAAGAAAAGAATAAGCAATAACAAAAAAAAAAAGGATGAATCTGAAACTAGATTTATAACAATCATAAAAAGAAAACAAGGAGATGGAGAAAATAGATTGATGTAATGTTCAGAGCCCTTTGTGACAGATTACATTCAACCTGCCCTTAAGGAAGCCAATGACATTTTACTGAGGCAACTTTCCCTGTATAATATAAAGATAACAAAAGACTCAAGGTATCAGCCAAGATGAATGATAAATGATGAACCTTTTCATCATTTCCCAGCAAGCAACTGAAAGGTGAAAGGTTAAAGAGCTGATCACTATGACCAAAGATGTGGAAAAAAAAAATTAAAACAAAAACAAAAAACATGGCAGTTAAGCTTAAAAAATGGGGTATGACAACATACGTGTAAAATAGCCTCTGCTCCACTGCGCATCTCCAAAGGTGTCTACAGGCAGATGCTGTTGGACATTTGAAGCCTACGGTGTGCTTCTTCTGTAAATGTAC